GGCTTTTAAGTACATGCTATATAAGTTGTATAGCACTTTACAAAAAATTTTGCATTGTAGGGTTTTAAAGTTAGAAAGTCTCATTTGTAGTCATTAAAAAAAAGTCAAAACAAGAAAGATGAGAAAACTAACCATGTGGAAGGTTCAGTGATTTGTTCAAGGCTGTATAGTTACAATAGAAGAGCTTAAGCTATTTTTTTTTTTTTAACCACATGGTAATAGCAACAACATACGTAGTATGGATTAGATTCTAGAAAAGTGCCATGTAGGATTTTCTAAAATGTATTTTGACTGTTAGATTCAAACTAAGGAAACCTAGAAACATCTTGTAGTAATCTTACTTTCCTTAAATTAAGGAGGGAAAAAACCTCGAATTTAAATTGACAGTATGGCATTGGGTTTCTATTTAGTCATTTTCAGACCTTATATAATAAAAATTCTTTAAAAGTATTTCAGGCCCTAGTGATTGTTTTTATAACCAAATAATTGTTTACTAAAATAAACAGGTTTATAACAAGGTGCAGAGCTGGGTATTAAGATTCATAATTCCAAGGATCCAGTATTTATAAACTTTGCAAACATACAAAATCTTCCTGTCTATAGGATTACGTGACTTTGGAATCTCAGGGAGTTTGTAGACTCTCTTTTCCTGGAAATCTTAACCATAGTTTAAGAGCAAGTTCCAGCTTCTTGAAATGGTATAAATTTCAGCTGTGCTGGTAGAAGTTAATGAATGCCATTTATTATGTTTTAAATCCATAGAACCATTGCAAAATTTAGACTGATTCTATAGTTATTACTTAGTTTAAACAACATACAATACCAAACCAGGAACTTAAAAATCATTACACTGGGGCTAAAAGCACTTTTAGAGATGCTTATGTATACTAATCAATCAGATGACTTTTTAAGTTAGCTGAAATCTAACGTGTTGAGAGCTGATAAGACTTCTATAAATCCTTTCCCTTTTTTTTCTTTTTCTTTTTCTTTTTTTTTTTTTGAGACAGGTTTCGCTCTTTGCCCAGGCTGGAAGTGCTGTAGTGCAACCTCAGCTTACTGCAACCTCTGCCTCCTGGGCTCAAACCTGAGCCTCCTGAGTAGCTGGGACCACAGGCACACATTACCACACCCAGCTAATTAATTTATTTTTGTAAAGATGGAGTTTTGCCATGCTGCCCAGGCTGGTCTCAAAACTTCTGAGCTCAAGCAATCCGCCTGCTTCAGCCTTCGAAAGTGATGGGTTTATAGGCATGAACCACCATGCTTGGCCATACAATTTCTTTTATATCTCCTTCACACCCAGTCAAGGGGACAACCTGCTCTGCAGCTGTCTGCTGATACATTTCCCTTATGGGAAACACTTGGGACTGGAAGAGTTTCAGATTTCAGGTTTTTAAGTATTTGCATATTTCCCAGTTGAGCATTCCTAATCTGAAAATCCAGAATCTGAAGTGTTCCAATGAGGATTTCCTTTTAGTACCATGTTGATGCTCAAAAAGTTTTAGAATTTGGAGCATTTCAGATTTTCCAATTAGAGATACTGAACCTATATAAAACTTGTCCCAGCCAGGTGCAGTGGCTGACACCTGTAATCCCAGCACTTTGGGAGGCTGAGGTGGGCAGATCACAAGGTCAAGAGAGCAAGACCATCCTGGCCAACATGGTGAAACCCCATCTCCATTAAAAATACAAAAATTGGCTAGGCGTGGTGGCATGCACCTGTAGTCCCAGCAACTCGGGAGGCTGACGGAGGAGAATCACTTGAACCTGGGAGGTAAAGGGTGCAGTGAGCTGTGATCGCACCACTGCACTCCAGCCTGGTGATAGAACAAGACTCTGGTCTCGAAAAACAAATAAAAAACTCATCCCTTTCCTCCAAATATTACCTGCAAAATAAAATATCGACCGTTCTCTTGTGGACTGTTCTCTTGTGGATAGTGGACTGCTAGATAATGTACTTTCTGTAGATTCCTACCGCAGGAAACTTTAAGCAGCAACTTCTGTTTAGGTCTGTTCATTCAGTCACTTAATCATACATTTAACCAACCAACCAACATTTACAGTCAACAACTACGTGTTAATTCAGTGATCATAAATGGAACCAAAACAACAACAAAGTTTTAAAGAATTACCATAACTTTTATTTTTGCTTAGTTTTATTAAAAAAATAAATATGTCATAAAGCTTTCTTTTTCCTTAAGGAGAAAAAAAGGAACAACTTTCATAAAACCAAATAAGCAATGGTAAGGTGTCTTAACATGAAAAAGATTAGGAGTCACTGGTTTACAAGTTATAATTGAATGAAAGAACTGTAACAGCCATAGTTGGCCATTTCATGCCAATGGCAGCAAACAACAGGATTAACTAGGGCAAAATAAATAACTGTGTGGAAGCCCTGATAAGTGCTTAATGAACAGACTGATTCACTGAGACATCAGTATAGATACATCTTGCTTTAAACAACACAGAAGTTCCTGAAAAGTTTTGTGTAAATGATATAACCACAAACATACTGAGAGAGCTTGGTAACCGAAAGAATTCCATGGTGAATTCTTTTATGAACAACCACCTTCACTTTTGTAAATCCAGGTATTTGCTTTCTATAAGGAGTATACTTAGTTGCTACCTCTCTGAACTGAGGAAGCAGCATATTCACCAGACAGTGTTCCAGCTGAGCCACCGGCAGTTTCCAAGTTTGTGTTTCTATTAAGTAGTGTAAGTAAGGTACAGAGTCAGCCAGGGAACCCAACTGAATCTGGCAAAGCAGGTGTAGGGGTGGGACTGCCATCTACCAATAATTCCAGCAAATACTTTTGCGAATCTACTTTGTGCAAACACAGTAATAAACCTTATCAATTCGGCTGTAGATGTACTTCCTTTTTCTAAAACTTTCAGTCATAAACTAGGTCTGGAACCCCAAAAGAAAGTAGTACTTCTAATCCTCAAAATGGGCTTTAACCAAATTAGCTGCCCAACTCCTTCAAACTGGAATGGATGATAATGAAAGAGACTGAGTTTTCCAAAGCTGAAGTTTAACAACACAAAAATCATCTTTCATATCACTAGTTAGTGAAAAATTTTGCTGGTGACAAAAATTTTTCAAATGGTTGTTTTCTTTCTGTTATTGTTTTTTTTAACTTCCTCTAAACAGAACTCTGAATTCTTGGGCAAACTCTGCAGAAGTTAGTCACTGATGCTTTCTGGTTGATTTATATATTTCAGTTCTGCTGATAGAAATAAAATTTCTTTCCACCCACCAGAATTTCATGAACTTATACTATACCAAAGCAGTGATGCTCTGGACAGAGAATATGCATGGTAGTACTATTTCCAGTCAGTTTTATCAAATGTAAATAAACAAACAGAATCCTCACTTAGCTCACAGCCTCGATTCCATTTGGCCAACTTCTGCCAGACCCAAGCCACATTTAAATTAGGCTGTTCAGTTTTTTTATTTAATGCTAATAACATTGCTGTCTATATGTACAAGTGTGATGAAAAGAGCATGTAATCTGTAGTCTTTTCCACACTGAGTACACTAACAATTAGTAAATAATTAAAGAGTAAGTGGTCATTTAAAAAAAAACTTAAAAAAAAAATTTCTAGCACTTTAAAAAATGGGTCCAAAAAGTGCCCTATTAATGTCCAATGCTGTTCCCCACCCAGTCCCACCCATTCATTCAAAACCTGCTACAAATGCTGGATTGAGTTCATATCAAATAATTTAGCAGTACCAAGATTTTTCAAATGGAAACAGTGTTATTGACTTCTTCATATTGAATAACAAAATAAGGGTAACTCTGGTCATCATTAAAAATGACAAAAATCTGAGGCTCAAAGAAATTATCCACACAAGAGTCATAAAGGTCACTGGTAACACTGCCAGGATTGACTGGAGGGGGCCTTCTCATGCCATGACTGCCCATTGTGTATCTGCCAGTCAGCACTTTGGCCAGAAACATGAAATGGACTCCTTTGGAGGACTTCTTAGAAAAGTTATGAGAGTAGCTTGCCTTCTTTGCAAAATAACTGCCTTGTCCAAACATTGTAGCATGCTTTCCACAGACTCGAGGGTCAAAGTTGTGTTTGCAGATTCCATCTACCACATCCTGGGATGTTCCATGAAATAAATGTCTCTCATTTATTATCCTGTCACGGCCAAACATTTTCCTGTTCATATATTCCTTTTTCCTAATGCAAAAAGCAGACAGGGAATTCATAAGGATAAAATACAAGTCAATTTAACAGGCATGATATAGTCATAAACTTCTCTATGGTTTTAATGAAGAGGAAATATTAAACTAGTTATTATCAAGAACAAAATGCCATCAAAGATCCAAATAAAAGTTTAAACTTATCTTTCCACTGAAGAAAAGCCCCTTTCCTTCTTTTGCCACCAATCATTTACTTGCTTTATCTTCCATCTTAAATCTATTAAAAGTTCTCCTATCTTTTCCTTCTTCAGGATGCCTTCCTTGCCTAATTCCTTCAACTTGAAGATCTCTTAGATTCTAAGATTCCTGAAATCTAAATATATTTCCTCCCTTTGTACTACATTAGTTGGCTGACTTGAGAGATACCATAGTGAAGTGATTAAGAGCAAGGCCTCTGGTGCCAGACTGCCTGGGTTCAAATTCCAGTACCATATCTTAATAGCTGCATGACCTACAGCAAGTAAGTTTCCTGTGACTCAGTTTCTTTTTCTCTGTAAAATGTAAATTGTAATAATCCTACACATGTCTGTTAGGAGGATTATGTGTCAGTTAATACACAGAAAAATATGAACATAAATTGTATGTAAATGTTTACTATTATGTTCCTCATTTGACATTAGCTACAATAAAGCTCTCTTGAACTTTTCGCACGTCTGACTCACCTTTTATATTTCTCCCAAAGAAACTGGTTTTGAACTCTCAATATCTGCAAAATTCTATATTTAAACTCAGGCACAGTCTTATGAAAAAGATTGTAAATGATCCGATAACTTTTATCCTCTGCAGAAACAGGCACTTGGATGAAGTCCTGAGATGGATGCATATAAACCCAAGTTTCAGGGTAAAAGTTTGCTGAAGTGACCCCATCTGGGCAGATAATTTGTGAAGATGAAGCTGCTTCAAGAGGTGGAGGAGCTTGTGTGGGAACCCCACCAAGTGTCCTATAATGAAGAGGAAGGAACATTAATGTAAAACATTAAGAAATAAGTACACCTCACATTATAGGACTCTATATCAGTGTCTACTTAACATAATCTGTATAGCTTTAGTGCTTATTTAAAAAATAAAAAATGCTATCTATCTATTTAAGAAAAAAAAGTCTTAATCACTGTCTGTACATGAGTAGCCTAATATTAGCCTCCTCTGGGCCTCCTCCTTCCTGTGGACAAAACTCCAAAATGTATAGCTACAAGGCAAACAAGCAAGAGCCGGTTCACAAATACCTTTACTTTTGAATCCTAGACTCCTCTTTATTACCTATAGCTAAAGAAACTTTGTTATGTGTTTTCTTCAAAATGTGCTGATACTAAGCAGAAAAGATTTCATTACTAAAGGATATGTGGGTGGGAGACAAAGTAAGGCAGGCAGCAAGGAGGGAGCTTATAGGGAGAAAAAAAAAAGCTACTTTAATTTCTGTATAAAAACAAAAGTCATGGTGCAGGACCTGAACACTGATAAATATTTGACATTTGTTTCATTTTCCAAGATCACATATAGAAACAAAACCACCAATACTATTCAACTTTTAGAGCTATGAGTGTGCTTAAGATGAAGCTAATTACTATGAACTCTAGACACCAGAATGCGTATCCGTGAGACTTTAAATTCATGTCTGTTACTCTGAACAATGATTTTAGATAAGCAGCTTTGGTAAGTTATTTATTCCTGCCTAGTTAAATGCTTGAATTTAAATCACATTTCTTGGCCATTTTCAAAACAGAGAGAAAAAAAGTAAAGAGCAAGGAAATCCTGACCCTGAGACTTAGTTTCAGGGCCAGGTACTATAACAGTCATTGGCATATACTGGTCACAAGGAAGTAATAATGTGGGCCAAAATGGATTAGGAAACTGAAATTTTCATAAGAACTTTGTGACACAGAGACTACAACTTTGTGTGACCATGTGTCTCATCTCCAAAGAGCACAGCTAACCATCACTTTCATCATAATCATAGCCAATAAATATTATGCACCAGTCATTTTACATACAGTATCACTAATTGTCACAATAACCCTTAAGAAGACTTGGTTTTCCCCACTTTTCAAATGAAGAAACTGAGGTTTAGAGAGATTAAATAATTTGCCCAAGTATCGCTAGTAAAGAGCAAAGACAGGATTTGAATCTAGGCCGGGCTCATCTAGGTAGTTTCTAATCTCATACTCTTTTTAGTTCCATGTATTTCACAAATTTTTTTTTTCTTTTATACAAAGCTGCAAAGTGATAGACAAGATACCAGCACTCCAACCTGGTTTTGCCTGACTCTCACCACGAGCACCAGCACCAGCATCACTACATTATCATCATCATCGCACAGTCTTTTAAGGGATGACTTTTAAAAAACTAAAAGCTGTGGAAGCATGACTGCTTTCTCTAGCCCCACCTTCTACAAGTGACTGTGCCTTCAATTTAATGTGCCTCAGAGTCTCTTTGTGAGACAGAGTTCTGGATGGGTGGATCCAGGGCTTACTGATCTCCGAGGTGCTTTTAAGTACAGGGGCAGATTTAAAGTGCTGCTGGTTTCTCCAACTGTCACAACAAAAGGCACAACAGTTCTTGTCCTCTGTAGCATTTTCTCAGTGCCCACACAGATTCCTTTGGATCCTCAGTACTGATACATTTTTCTGGTACACTGGTACACTTTCATGAAGAGAGGCCTCACTGCTTTAATCAGATTCTCAAAGATCTGATGGCTCTTCAAAAAGCCATCACTATTCTGGAGGAACAGCTGGGAAGCAAACAATATAAGCCCTTTATTTTTGTTTAATAGCTATTCCCTCTATCCAGCTTTGCAAAGAAAAGGGTGAGTCCCCAGCCCACCAGGTTTTCTATTATTAACAGGGGTTGAAGTTAACAACAAAGGCTTCTGGTTTAAAGGAATAAGGTAAGATTCTCTCCAAACACTCTGCCCAAGAGGTTTTAGACTCTCAGCCTGTACAGCAAACCTAACCCTAACAGAAGAGATTCTGCCCTTTTCTTTCTGGTATCACTACTATGTACCCGTTCCTTAAAATGAAAGCTTCAAATATACCTTTTCCTTTTTTGTGGGGGGGATGGAGATCTGTTATTACTAACATATGCTTGAAGATGAGCTGAGATAAATAATTCCTATCCATTCTAAGATATTAAATTGGACTATGTATATGGCAGACATCCATTCCAACCCACAGATGCTTACTTTTTAACAAGCCAACATCCTAACTGGCCTAAAACACAAATATGCATATACACGTCTGTCTGATGGGCTTCAAGACTCGAGTTGCCATGGGTTAAAAGTATATATTCTAAGCACAGTTACAAATGTACCTTTATTTTCTGAGAATGATGAGTTTGTATTTACCTCATGGGTATTCCAAAGATATATGGCATGTGTCACTGTACCACACCAGCCTTCCCTAGAAAGGCCAAGTCGAAGGGAATTGAGCTTCTATGCAAAGATCTCGGAAGAATGGATTTTCAGAATCAAAGGTCACCTTTTATAACTCTCCCTCCTTCCCCTTACCATTTTGAAGGATATTTAGTAAACCAATTTCAGCGGTGAAATAAAAATTAATTCATTATCCTTTTGAGGGGAATTAAAGAAACTGTGTCAGACATTCTCATGACCATGATGTGATTGTATGGGATGGATGTTCTTTCAGCTGAAAGCACTGAACCCCCTAACCCCTAAATCTGAGCTTTGTTTGCTTATGCAGTCTCAGCTCAAGAATTCTAAGATTATTAAAGAATAAGCTCCTTTTTATCAGCCCCATTAAAAAGCAGGAGAGACCTTTTAAAAAATAGCTGAATTTGCAGGAAATTCATTAATTAACATCAATCTCCTACCCTACCCTTTCCACTCTTATCTCTGATTCCCTGAGAATTGTGGCCTCTTTAACACCTATCTTTTTCTTTGACCCTTTGCATTTAATAACAACTTAAAAACCCAAGATCATGCCTGTAATCCCAGCTACTTGGGAGGCTGAGGCAGGAGGACTGCTTGAGGAAGGAGTTCAGGATCAGCCTCAGTAACACAGTGAGACCTTGCTTCTACCAAAGAAAAAGAAAGCAAAAATAAGCTGGGCATGGCGGCATGTACCTGTAGTCCCAGCTACTTGGGAGGGTGAGGCAGGGGGATCACTTGTAGTATTTTTACTGGTGAGGGGGTCTTGCCTTGATGATGGCCTGACTGATCAGGGTGGTGGTTGCTAAATTGGCAGTGGCGATTTATTAAAATAAGACAACAGTGAAGCTTGCCACATCAATTGACCCTTCCTTTCATGAAAGATTTCTCTGCTTTATGCAGTACCATTTGAAAGGATTTTATCCACAGTAGAACTCTTTCAGAATTGCAGTCAATCCTCCCAAACCTTGTGGTTGCTTTATCAACTAAGGTGAGGTAATATTCTAAACCCTTTATTATTTCAAAATTCTTTACAGCATCTTCACCATTAGATTTCATCTCAAGAAACCCCTTTCTTTGCTCATTCAAAAGAAGCAACTCCTTATGCATCCAAGTTTTATCATGAGATAGTAGCAATTCCGTCACATCTTCAGGCTACACTTCTAATTCTGCCTCTCTTGTTATTGCCACCACATCTGCAGTGACTTCCTCCACTGAAGTATTGAACCCCTCAAAATAATCCACGTGGGCTGAAATAAACTTCTTCCAAATTTCTGTTAATGTCAGTATGTTGGCCCCCTCCCATGAATCATAATGTTCTTAATGGCATCTAAAATGGTAAATCCTTTCCAAAAGTTTTCCAATTTACTTTCCCCAGATCCATTAAAGGGATCACTATGTATGGCAGCTATAGCCTTACAAAATGTACTGTTAAAATATGAAGTCTTGAAAGTCAAAATTACTCCTTGATAAGTGGGCTGCAGAATGGATTTTGTATAGCAGGCATGAAAACAGTAATCTCCTGTACATCTCCATTTGGGCTCTTGGGTGACCAGGTGCATTGTCAATGAGCAGTAATAGTTTGAAATAAATCTTTTATTCTTGAGCAGGTCCCAAGAGTGGGCTTAAAATATTCAGAAAACCATGTTATCAACACATGTGCTGTCATCCAGGCTTTGTTCTTCCATTTATAGAGCACAGGCAGAATAGATTAAGCATAATTCTTAAGGGACGTAGGCTTCAACTTAAAGTCATCAGCTGCATGAGCCTATGACAAGAGTCAGCCCTGTCCTTTGAAGCCAAGCACTGACTTCTCGCTACATGGAAGTCCTAGATGACATGACATCCTTCTAATGACAACCTTATAATAGAAGGTTGTTTTGTCTACATTGAAAAATCTCTAGTTCAGCCACCTTCATCAATGATCTCAGCTAGATTTCTGGATAACTTGCTACAGCTTCTATATTAACACTTACTGCTTCACCTTGCACTTTTGTATTATGGAGATTTCCTCTTAAACTTCATGAACCAACCTCTGCTAGGTTTAAACTTTTCTTCTGCACCTTCCTCACCTCTCTCAGCCTTGATAGAACTGAAAAAAGTTATGGCCTTGCTCCGGATTAGGCTTTGGCTTAAGGGAATGTTGTGGCTGGTTAGATCTTTTATCCAGACCACTAAAACTTTCTCTATATTAGCAAGGCAGCTATTTTACTTTCTTATAATTTGTGTGCTTACTACAGTAGCACGTTTAATTTCCTTCAAGAACTTTTCCTTTGTATTCACAACTCGGCTAATCTTAAGGCACAAGAGGCCTAGCTTTTGGCTTATCTCAGCTTTTGACATGCCTTCCTCACTAAGCTTAATCATTTCAGGCTTTTGACTTAGAAGTTAGAGATGTGTAACTCTTCCTTTCACTTGAACACTTAGCATCCATTGTAAGGTTGTTAACTGGCCTAATTTCAATATTGTTTTGTCTCAGCAAATAGGGAGGCCCAAGCTGGGGGTGGGGTGGTGGGTGGGATAGGGAAATAACCAGTCCATAGAGCGTCAGAACACAAAGCACAGTTATCAATTAAGTTTGCCGTCTTATATGGGTGCCATTCTTAGCACCCCAAAACAACTGTAATAGTAACATCCAAGATCACTGGTTAGATCATGATAACGGATATAATAATAATGAAAAGTTTAAAATATTGCAAGAATTACCAAA